CAAATCAAAGCTCTACAATAGGAGAATGAAATAAAATGTATTAAGTATCTCTTATTAAAGAGTTGATTTCCAAATATTACTCAGCTTCTGGCAGAACAGCTGACTCTGTAGAGTAGAAGGCCAGAGGTCTCAAACCTTCTATCCTGGAAGCCTTCTGGAATTTCATACCCTGCCCCCAACGTCTATTTTGGGATAATGGCTTAGTAGTTCCTGCTGCCCCCGCCTGTCTTCCAAGGAGCATTATACCTGGCATAGAGACAAGGTTCTCATACCCTGTGCTGTCTTTCTGGCAATTAAAATGTTAAAAATGCAAAAAGCAAAACAATAGTGCAAGTTCATGGCCATGCATGTAGAGGTACAATCTTTCATCCAGTCTTTCCTTCTTTCCTAATCTCACCAGAAATAAACAAAATAAAACTTTATTTTAAAAAATATATATATTAAACATTTTTAACTTTAAATATTAAGATACAAATTGTCAATGTTGATAAAGATAAATGATACAGCAATTCAAATCAGGATGATAGAGTTATGTGATGGAATGAAGGCCAGGCTCAGGGAGATAAGCGTGTTCTTAGCCCCCAGCAGCAGTGTGGGAAGTTCAAGAATATGAGGCTGGCACCTCCCTAAGGAATTTGCGGTGTTGTGTCTGGCTGGCTTGGGAACTAGGGTTCAGTCTGGGGAGATTTTTCTGTCTGGAGGTTGTAGCTAATAAACGCAACGGAACTGTATTTGCATTGTCTCTTGGAGTTCTTTGGGCTGAACCTGACAGTTGTCAGCTTAAAAGAACATTTACAAAGGAAGTGGCAATGCTCCTACAGGCCTCAACAAGATGCTGGTCAGACTAACAAAGTCAGACCTATATGATATCAGGGGGAACACTGTTCCAGAGAAAGGGGGCAGTGATTGAGAAAGCCCAACCTTCTCAGTTGATATTTCCAAAGGACTGAGTGAGACTTCAGGTAAGAGAACAACCAATAATATTATCAATTGCAACAGAAATTATTGAGAAATAAGGAAAGGCTGGAATCGATGCGTATGGCTTTAGTATATTATTTCTACATTTGGAAGAACAGACTGCCCCGGCAGATTATAAGCACCTGTGCTCCTCCTTCCCCTCCCTTTTTAGCCCTCCCCATCGGCAGGACAGACCCAGCTGCTGATCAAACATCAGCGGCCAATCGAACAGCAGCGTTGGACAGGCAGGGAGGAGGAGGGAAGGCAAGATGGCTACCTGGAAGCTCTGCAGTCCCAGGCCTCATGAAGAAGAGGCTGAATAACAGTCAAAGCTCAGGAGTCAAAGTAAAGAGACACACTAAAGGATAAACAGCCCTGCTGAGAAAGAGGCAATAGGGGAAGAAGCTGCCACTGGTAATATGGGAGAGACAAGGGTGTTTTCCCCTTCCCTCAGAGTTGGCATGAGGGAAAAGCTCTTGTGGCCATTTGCCTCAGATGGAGCCAAGACGCAGGGGAGGCAAAGAGCCAAAAAGCCCAGCCAGGAACAAACAAGCAGAAAAGGCCAAGAAAAAGTAACGACTTTGGCAGAGCAGAAATAGAAAACCAAACTGAAAAAAGATATCCTATTGAAAAAGGAGTATAGCTCTATAGAGAGTGACAATAGAAATAGTCAGGGATAGAGACAACAGAAATAGAGAAGTCACCAATAAATAAATACTGATATTTCAAATAGCCATAAAGATATAGAATGTAGATATATCAAGTATCGAAAGAGATATAGAATAGAAAGATATGAAAATATAGTGAAATTGGATTTTAAAGAATATAGTGCAGATAAAGAGCTTATAGAAAATATAAAGTATAAAAAAGTTTCATTATTAAGGTTAATTTCTAAAACAGAAACCTTTATTGTACAACAAATAGTTTGATGCAATCTGCAGCAGTTTTTTAATGTTATATTTGGTTCTGGATGAAAAAGCTAAGTAATCTCTGCTCATTAACATTGGCACTTTAAATCATAATTAATACTGATATAATACTTCTCTTTCTTTTTAACTTCAATGGTATAAATTATCTACACATGAGAGTGTTAATAATCTTTAGTCAATACTGTACAAACACCACTGTATCGAAATAATATGTGCCATGCTTGTTTTACAACAATATAATATACATTCTAAAAGAATTAATTTCTGAACTAGTTGAAGTCCACACATCTTAAAGTTGCCAAGTTTGAAAAACATTGCCCTATGTCATTACAGTTCACTGATGCATAGCTTTTGTTTCAAATTTCCTTATTCAAGATAACAATGATGATTTTATTTGATTTATTAGCCACCCCAATATGGTGGCTATGATTCTAGTTGCCTTGCAATATACAACAATAAAAATACCATTAAAAACAAAGAACATATCATTAAAAAGTCTGGAAAAAACCAATGATCATTAAAAAACTGCATAATGTCACACAAGGGATCCATCACCACTCTAACCCAGGGCCTGAGACAAGGCCAGATTTTAAGGACTTGTTTAAACAGGGTCATGATGGGAGCTATATGAATCTTGGGGGGGGATGGGGTACCCCATCCCCCCCAAAGTATAATTTAATTGATGGGACCTGGAGCATGCTAACTTTATCAGACCATGTGGGATGGTACACAGGTCCCTTCAGTTAAATGGTGTCATCTTGAGGAGCCAAGGAAGTGTGCCTTCTTTGTTGCAATGACTGCCCCCTCAAACAGCATCCCCTGGAGATACATACAGCTCCCATCCTTGAAATGTTTTTAAACCCTGGCTCTCTGTTCCCAGGCCTTAGGTTAGGGAATTTATGGAACTTCTGGCAATTTTTTCTGGATGTTATTCATGTGGTTTTGTCTGGGTGGTCATGTTCCTTTTTAAATTATGTATCCTTTTAAAGTAGTGGTCCCCTGAGATCCAGCAGGCACCCACCCTTCTAGCCTTCTCGAAGACCTTAAAAAGCTGGCTTTTCTCCCAAGTGGTCGGACACGTTGAGAGTGGAGCCCAGTAACTAAAATTGCTTATGTACTGAGGAGTGTTGTTTGGGATACTGTGAGGTGGTTTTGGGTTTTTTATGTTTGTATGTTTTTATTGTTGTCACTGTGAGCTACTCACTTTTTGGAGTCAAGCATCCTTGAAATCCAATAAATAAATAAATGAATAGAAACGATGAATAGGCAGCCCCTCTGGTTACCAGGCCGTATGCCATGGAAGACTTTATAGGTAATAACCACACCTTGAATTGCACCAGGAAGCCAACTGGTAGCCAATGCAGCTCACATGAGCATGCTATAGCCTACCCATAACTGTTTGTACTATCTCATTCTGGACCAGCTGCAGCTTCTGAATGGTCTTCAAGAGCAGCCCCACGTGGAGTGTTATATGTCATTCTTTCATTTACCCTTTCCCAGAATTCTCCTGTGATTATAGTCTTTTGTTTGCATATTCAATGAAACAAAACAATAATTACTTCAGAATGCTTAAATGAGAAGCAGTAGACAAATGTTTTAAATAAATAATATTCATTAGTATTTTCTCATGGATATGATTTGCATAATCATATCTATGGATAAATAAATCTGTGGCTATATATTTTTGCTGGTTTAGTGCAAATTAATAATACTGTGTGCCTTTAAAAAACCACATAACAGCAACCAATTCAAAAATAATTAAAACATCAGAATGTCAAAGAAAGATAATACAAATTTGACACCAGAAAATTACAAAAATATCACAATTTATAATTCATCAATTTAAATAATCAAACAGCAAAGCCTCTTAAACATGCAGTCCCATACCATTCTTTAAGTGGGACAGCTCTTGTTCCTTTTTTGCCCGCCACTAGTGTTAAAATCACATATCCAAAATGTTTTGGTTCACCACAGATGTAATTGATTGGTGCAATATCCTTGTTGTGATTACAATGTGGGCACATAAATACAGAGAGATAACTGTCAACCATTGATCGATAACCCTGATACTTGCTCATTTGGTGGGAAAGAGCAAGACAGTTGAAAAAAGCAGATGTAATTGACTGGTGCGCGAAACTCACTGGCAAGCAAAAAAGGAACAAGAGCCAATAGCACTGCACTTTTGGACTGCCACCACATATGTAAGGAAGTTTCTTTTCTTTTTCTTTCTTCCTTCCGTCCCTCCGTCCCTCCCTTTCTTTCATAGATTTATTAATTCTCTCTTGATAACCAGGGAGTTCTAGTCCTGCCTTAGGCATGAAGTTGGGTGGGTGACCTTGGGCCAGTCACTCTCTCTCAATCCTAGGAAGAAGACAAGGGCAAGCCATTTCCAAAAATCTTGCCAAGAAAACTGCAGGGACCTCTCCAGGTAGTCACCAGGTGTCAACACTGACTTGAAGGCACACGCATGCACACACACACTCAAATTAGGTCCAAGATGCTAAGATACTAACTATAATTGTTAGTACTGTATGAAATTCCACAATGAACATTAACCATGTTCATTATGGAATTCCATACAGTACTAACAATTTAATGCATTTTCACAACCATTATAATTATTATTTTAGGACAGGTTCTTTTAAATTGTTTTTATTTCATAATATTCAGTTTCCATTGTTGAAGTAATAATTTCCAATCTACTTGTCTCCTATCCACGGATTCCTGATGATGAAGTATATCTTGATCTTCCTTTGATTGCAGGATGCAAAATCTGTTGGGCTAGGCCTGCTGAGTTGTGCACATTTTGTGAAATGAAAAGAAAAAGATGTATTTATGAAGTGAATATGGAAAAAAGATTCCGGTCCGAATCAAATGTAGTGAGGGAAGAGTATTGTTATGTTGCTATTTTGGTTCAGTATCCACCTGTGCCCCGAAAGTTCAGGGTGGGCCTGGCCACCTCGCCAATGCCCTCTTCTTTCGCCTCCGAACTAGCGAGGAATTAGCCAGCCTCCCGCGGGCCGTCGGCGGCCTCCTGGGGCGGACCCGGCGCTCGCGCACCCAAAGGTGGAGACGCAGGTACCTCTCTGAGCCCCGAGGAGAAGGGCGCAACTGAGGCGTCGCTAGCCCGGCTGCGCCTTTTCTTCTGGGGGTTTCGCGGCGTCAGGGGGTGCGGAAGGCGGTGCCTGAGGCGAGGCTGAGTGGGGCGGGACTCTTCCCACCCGCCTCGTTTCGCGGCTGCCTCTGCTGCTTCTCGTGCCGCTCGGACTTCTTTTTGGGCGAAGGGACCGGGAAGGAAGCGCTTGTAGCGTTCCACCGAGTCTCCGAAGGTGAAGCATCGGGGATCTCCTGGAAGAGGGAAAGCCGCCGAGTCTTCCTGCGAACCCCTTCCTTCCATCCGCAGCGCCAAAGAAAAACTCCGAGGTGGGTGTTCAGGCTCCCCAGCGAGTGCAAAGGAGCTTTCAAGGGACATGGGCTGAGGGCGGCAAGGGTTACTAGAAACTGGAGGTGAACGAGACGAAAGTTTGGGTGGGAGCCTCCGTTGATCCACCTTAGCAGAAGAATCCGGGCCGTGGAGTTTGACAGATCGGATTAGGATGATTAGTAGCAGCCCAACTCGATGCATATGTAATCCCTATTGAGTTCGGCAAGTTACAAACCAGACAAAAGTGTGTATAGGATTGCAGCGTGAAGTGTCGAGGAAATTCCCTTAGCTAAGTTTGTGCTCTTGTCTGTACCTGTTTGTATGGCTACTCTCTGTGATGGCAGTAAGTTTGGTTATACCGACTCGAGGTTTTTTTAAGTTGTGAAGACTCAAACCGATAGCTTCTTCCTTGTTTGGTACTAGTGAATGGCTTGCATCATTTGATCTTTCACATCACATTTTGGGCAAGTGTCTCTTTTCTTTCCCATTAACTTACATTCTTCATTAGGCAGGAGAAAAGCAAACTTCAGGAAGAGTACGTCTGGTCTTAACTGTTAATTATTTGTACTCTCACTTTGCAAAGCCAGAATATAAAAATACATCAGGATAAAAAGTGAAATTGTTTAGTTTTCCATTTTATTTCAAAACACCAGTTCCTATTTTATTAAAATATCTTTTAAATTGCCAGAGCATGTATGTGGAATTCACAATTATAATGTGTTGCATAGTAAGTCTGTGGTGCTATCATTTGGATTTGGGAGTATATGCTAATATTTTGAGGCACAGAGCAAAATACCAAAATACCAATATCTGCTGTAGCAATAGCTATTGGGACCAGTAGCTGACAGCATTAAAAATTGATCCAGCTTCAGTGTTTTGGAAGATTACCCACATACAAATATATTTTCCTGGACCTGTGATAGGGAAATAAAAAATTACATAATGTAATTTATGCATTTAATTATGATATTCATCAGTGCTCAATTTTAAAAATGGTTTGTTATGGCTTTTCCCGAATAAGAAATTGGTGGATTTCACTATTTTGGAAGGGTCCATAGTGTGTGAACTGTAACTGATACTGTTTGAGGTTTCAGATACATTTGGCTAGATCATTCCAATACTATTTTTTTTCCTTTTTCAAATGAACCTCTTTGTATTTAATGCAATTTTATCTTAAAGTTAAAGCTGAGTAAAACCTATGAAATTTGGAACAAATCAATAAGCAAGCTGTTACTCCCTTAAGTAAATAATGAGATATCCAAACACTTTATAGCACATGAGATGGGTGGCCATATAAATTCAATAAATAAATAAATATATTATGTATAGTATTTATAGATTATATTTTCAGAAAACATAAATTTGGTTCATTGTACTATGTATAATGTACATAATGTAATTTAAGATTTCTTCTCTGTAGGAGATCAATTGCATATAGTACAGTTCTGATGCCTAATAATAAATTTTCATTTACAATTTAAGTGATAAATAATTCTGGACCTCTTGCTAATAATAACTGATGCTTATAGAACTGAAAGCATGAAAGTCAGTTGCTTATTCATATTCAGAATGTACACTATTTCATTTTTGTTGTACATGGCTCTGTGGTCTTTACCAAGTCCTGATAAAGTTAAGGGAGTTTTTAACTTAAAACAGCTTCTCATGAAATGGTTCCTCTTGTGAAACTCCTATGCAAAGACAATTTCTACCAGTGTCGTCATGGAACATGTATCATAAGAACTGTCTTAAATTTTTGTCTTTAATGTTTATGATATTCCCTAATCTGATATTGTATAACTTAAATTAGATTTAGTTTCAGTCCTAGACAAAATTACCCCCCAAAAAGAACTTGACTTCACTTAAAATGTAGGTGCTTACTGTGATAAGACTCTCTCCTTGGGATTTTTTTTCATGTATGTTGTTCTCTATTTCATTCACATTAATGTAAAAGTGTGCCAAATTTTGCAAAGCAATGTAATCTCAGTTTTTTAATATAGGAAAAATATTTGCTGTAACATAAAATAACTTTTCACTTTGAATGACTGTTTAGGATTGTTAAAGTAAAGAGGGTATTTAAATAATTTGTATAAAGGGCATTTTGAATCTACATGATGAAGCTGGATGCATTAACTGGCTCCAAGTCTTCCAGAGAATTTCATGGCTTAACAGGCGTTTGAACCTGGATCTTTTCAGTATTATTCGATGCTTTATCTATTATCATGCTGACTCAGTGACACAGCAATGGCATTCTGTTACAGTTATGGTTTTTGGCTCATTGCTATAGTGTGCATTTAAAATACCCATACATTTATTTGGAAAAGGCATCCACAAATAAAAATATCATGAAAATACTATTTATTTATATGTCAAATTTATATCATCGCCCAACTCCCCCACAAGGAGCATAATTCTTGGTATAATTTTAAATAAATAGTCACGTCATCTAGGATCCTAAATAATATACCATTGATGGAAGTTCAGCTATGGAGTAAGTTAATGTTTGTTCATTATTTGATTACCTGCAGCCCTCTACACCACCAAAAAATTGTCCCAAAGATTGGGAATTATTTGGATAATGCAGTGGGCTGTTTGGGGTAGAAAAAACTAGTGAAAATCATGTTCTACTTTCTTTGTCTAATTCATGGATCAAAATCTCTGCTGCATGTGGAAGTATTCTTTCACAAAGGTTCATAGTCAAGCCACAGAGTTCAGTGATGTAACTCACAAGTAGATGTATATTTAAGATCGCACCCCTGTATGTCATAGATTACATGTTTGATACTTAGTCAGTTGGAATAGAAAAACAAGCAGACACAAAGTTCACTGCTCCTTGAGGTAGAATATTAATATTTTAATTGAATACATTTCATTCCTTAAAAGTGAATGTGGCTTGCAAAACAGTTCTAAAAGGATTTCACCTATGGAGCACCTCTAATAAAAAATCATAGCAATAATGAAATAGTTTTCCAGCTACCAAAAGACCTTTTGAAAGAAAAATGCCTTGTTCTTTTTTATGAAAGTTAACAATAATACACAACCTAAGTGAAATGATATAAAGAATTATTTCTATGCCAAACAGGTCACAGACTAGCAGGATGCATACACATTTAAAAATAGATATTTATAGATGGTAGTCAGAAATCAGAATCAAATTTTAATTTAGCCATATGGCATAATTTTTCCAGGCCCCAATTTGGGAACAAAAAACAGTGCTTGCAAAATGGTTGGATATTTATCTTCCCAAAGTAGCTTAAAATCAAATGTAAAAACATCAAAATATAAAACAATGGAAATAAAACCATAATGTGAAGACATTTCCAGTACCAGGTGCAAAATTAAGTTTCTGGAGATATTCACTTTTGTTCTCTTTAAATTCAGTATTATCAGCTTTGTATGGAACAAAGAGTCAGGTTCTTATTGTGGATGAGGTCAGTATGGGTGCATACAATTTTTTAATTCTTGCTTAGCTTTTCCCATTAGTATGACTGTGTTACCAAGATCTTCTTTTCACACGTTATCCAGGTTGGGAATCCTGGCTAGTTTTTCCAAAAAGCGCTAGCATTCATTGCCCAAGAAGTCCCAGTTTAGGGGATATTGGCTTGGAAAAGCAGTAATAAGCTAAAAATCCTACTTTGGGTGACATGCTAAAAGGTCATTCCTATTTTTTTCAGCTAATCATAATAGCAGGTACAGAGGTAATCTATGCCAAGTGAAACCAAAGATATGAAGTCAGTATTCACTGGAAATTTGGATTATTATCCCATTGACCATTGTCTCAGGGCTTTCCCCCTTGAACCTCACCATGGCATGGACATGCCCCAGCAACTTCTTTTTTTTCTGACGTGTCTCCATGTTGTCTTCATTTTGTCCCAACCTATCAAGGAGGAGGCAGTTTAAAGTTTTCTTTAGCTGTTTCAGTATTAAAAAGAATGCTTTCCTCGTTAAGCAGCCAACAAGCTATAGCAGTTTCACTGTAGATAAAATCTGACATGCTTTACCAACCCTTTTGTTGGTGACACAGTCAGATGATCTTGTGGGGTGGGATCAGCTTAGTGGATATTAGGCACTTTAGGCTGATGCAGATATGTCCCTTACTCTGGTCCTTGGGTACTCTCTTCCAGGGCTGTTCTGCTTTGGGCAGTGGAAGAGTTTGGTTCTCTCATACTGGGCTCTCCTCCTATACACAACAGTACTCTGAGTTGATCCCTAATTTGAATACCGGGATCTGCCCAATTGCCCAGTTTGCTTTTGAACACTCATGTGCTTTTTTGGAAAAACATCTGATAGGTGAAGGAGTGATATGGTGAAATGGCAGAAAAATGGTTTATACAATCCTCCTATTGCACCTGTCAGATGTTGTTTGGACTGCCAGTTATTTAATATTTAGCTCTATGAGATGGTTTACATCTCTGAGCTGAAGGCCTGGCCCAGAGATTTGGTAGCTCAGGAGCCTCCTCTTCCACTTTGTCTGCCACCTCCCCATGCCCTTGGAACTGATCACCAGGGTGAGAGATGTGCCAGATGAAGTGGCAGCCTTGGAAGATGACTAAATCTATGTGTCTAGGAATCTATAAAAATAATTGCCCTTCACAGCAGTGCTGGCTGGTAAAGTTGAGGTAGAAAAAGGGCAGCCTTCCCAATACAGGAAATAGGGGCATTGTCCTCTGGCTGTAAGGCAGAAGAGAGTCAGTCTGTTCCTCTTGGCTTACAGATGGAGGAGAACACTGAGCTGTGGGGATGAACCTTCAGTGTGCTTGAGAAGAATGAATCAGAAATTTCAGGAACACTAATTTCTAAGTGCTCATTTTAGTCTTTCCCAAGTAATGATAGGAGAATTGTAGTTGAACATAACTACTGGAGGTTACCTGGTTGGCATTTGGGTGTTTACTTATTTAGCACTGCATTACATTTAAAAGGCTGATCTTTTACATTTTTCTAAAGCACATTTTAAATTTTGACTTCACTGGGAAAAAAAGCATGAGTACCAGCAGGCAACCTT